CTTTCCTCGTGGGTTGATGTATTAGCCGAGTGTGCGTGCGTTCGTGTCAGGTTTCCCACACTGATGATGTATGTAACAACAAATTGGCCCATCATTAATCAAAGCGATTTTCTGTAATTAGATTTTACTAAGAAATGGCTGCTTGTTATGAAACAGACTGCAGGTAGATATGAAAGATCTTGAGGCATGCCAGACTTTGTTGAGCGTGTTCATATGTCTGTGATCTCTCATAAGGAGGCCACACATGCCCAATAACACTCAGAGGGCTCATGGGAGAATCAATGACATCAGTGCATTTCCTGTGCCCTCAGGGTACGTTGCAGTTATTGATTGCCCGTGTCTGGTTTTAATTATCCTCCAGTGGAAATGAAAGGAAAGGGGCATCGGCAGACCCTGCCAGTCAATCTGACGCACAATCTGATTGAGCTGCTTCAAACAATATGGGCCTATCGACCAATAAGGATGCAGGAAGCCTTATGTTTTGCTTTGTTTTGTTTTTTTAAACACAATAGACGATGTTGAGAGTGTGTGTACATTTTAAAGCAAACATGTCAGTTACTTTTATAAGTATTACACTTTGTTGTGTAATAGTGTGGTTACATTAACAACATTTTATGGCAAAAAAAGTTCTATTGTCTATTATCAATAGTGTAGATGATAAACAAACTAAGCACAGATTACACAGAAGTCACTATCAAACGTCAATCAATGGTAAATGTGACCGCATCTTAACATGTCATGCGCTGTCATGAGTTACTGATAACTCAAATGATGTGATTTTCTGGGGATGTCCCATTTTACATACATCTACTTCATCTACATTCCATCATACTTCATGCACGCAACAGTCGCAACTTTCACTTTATAGCAGAGGGGCTAAATATACTAATGGTGTGTAACTGGAAGACGTTGAATGCTTGTTCCATTTGAGAAGCTACTACAGTTCACACATCATTCATGAATACTGTGTAGTATAAGTGCAGAGTGTATAGCATATCATTTGGGACACAACCTTTCTCTGTAAGTTCAGATTTGGTTGTCAACTAGATTTTTTTTGTCATTTAGGTTTCAACATGTTTGTTACGTCTTACAAACAATGACGTGTGTCATTCACTATGTAGTCAACGGTGAATGAATGAACGATCAAGCCGTTTATGACACATGAAATGTCTGTGCACCACTCACATTTCTTTCAAAAAAGAAAAAACTACACTAAGTTTGAGGACAGTCGATTTTTTTTGAAAGACTAATACTTTTATTCAGCAAGGATGCATTAAATTGATCAAATGTGACTGACATTTATAATACTACAAAAGATTTCTATTTGAAATAAATGCTGTTTTTATGCTTCAAAGAATCAACATGCAACTCAACATTGATAATAATAAGACATTTTTTGAGCAGCAAATCAGCATATTAGAATGATTTCTGAAGGATCATGTAACACTGAAGACTAGAGTAAAATTCAGCTTTGCATCACAGGAATAATATACATTTTAAAATGTATTAAAATAGAAAATAGTTATTTTAAATTGTAATTATATTTCATAATATTATTGTATTTTTGATCACGTATATGCAGCCTCGGTGAGTGTAAGAGGCACACAAATCATTAAAAGTATTTTTGTGCAAAATGATGCTAGTGTTTTTTAGTGTGGTTTGTCTGCGTGAGATATTTTAAGTTTGTTTTTGTGACTGTGTGTCTAGAGAGCAGTTGTCAATTCTCAGTCAGAGCTCTCTCTCTGTCGACTTCTCCACGTCTATTCATATCCTCCTCTTCAATAACCCTCCCTCATGCGCTTCCAACCACTCAAGAGTGTGCAGCTATGCCAATTAGTTCTGCGCTGCTGTGTGTGTGTGTGTGTGTGTGTGTCAGGTTGGGTGATACTGATATACTGTATTCAGTGCAGCACCCCGGTGCTCTCCACATACAGGATGAGTCATACGCTCACAGCAAAGGCAGGGCTTTCCCTCGCTCTGAGCGCAAGAGAGAGAAATGATGCTTAGATTCCTGTTTGTCACAATATTATACTTCTGTCTCACCAGAATCATCAGCAGGAGACGTTCATCCAGCCACATCACAGTCGCACTGCCGCAGAATGTGACCTCTGCTGAATTATCATTTGACGTAGTTGATACTCAGTATGTGGAGGAAATACCCTGCATAGTTGCCTAATCCGTTGAGGAACGGCCTTGTTTTGGAGCTCGATCTAATGCTTTTAACTCAATTTGTACCTTCTCTGTTGTTCCTTTGATCTGTAGTACTGCACAAAGGTCCTTCACAGCGGCAAACGAATGCTAAAATGCATGATGTGTGTGTGGAGTAAAAGCAGCCATTTGGAATGAAACAGAATTTCTGAGGGGGTTTTCGCCGATCGTTTGATTGATAGACTCTCAGGTTGATGTTTGATGGTGTAAGAACGTGCTTTGTATGCTTGAAGTTTAAGGAATGTTACGGGTTCAATATAAGTTCAGCTTTAAAGGTGGGTTATTGCCACTGAAAATATTTTGACATGTACCTTTTTTTTTTATAAAAGCAAACAAAATTGACAGTTGCAGTATAATGGGAAAATGATGTTTGTCCTATTTAATACGTGTCATAAGTATAATAATAGTCATCATATTTAATATGACTAAATGTCATACAACTATCCTCATTAAACATTTTTGAAAGCAAAACCTAAGTACACTAGTACCATGCACAAATTTGGAAAATAAATTAATACTTTTATTTTATTAATACAAAGACACTTTAAATTGATTAAAAGTGACAGTGAAGACATTTATAATGTTACCAAATATTTATATTTCAAATAAATGTTGTTCTTTTGAAATGAATATTTATCAAATAATCCTGGAAAAAAATTATCATTGTTTACACAAAAGTATTTAGCAGCACAACTATTTACAACATTGATTATGCACCATCATATTAAAATGTTTTCTGAAGGATCATGTGGCACTTTTAATGTTCATTTTTTTTTTATATATAAAACGGTTATTTTAAATTGAAATAATATTTTGCAATATCACTGCATTTTTGCCTTGATGAGCATAAGAGAGGTAACATAGTTCGATATATATCTTCCATTAAGATTTCATAGAAAAATTAAATGTTTTAAATTTATATGAATAATTCTTTATATTTGCATCCTGAATTGTCAATTAATAAATATAATTTATTGAGGGGTGAGTCAGAATGATTTTCTATGTTGTGTTGAGTTATACTGAACCCAAAATGCTCCTTTAAAGGGTCCCGATATTTCTGGTTCCCTCTCATAGTCTCACACACTCTCAGTTGTTGTCCACAGAACTAGCTTAAGAAGTTTTCTCATGCTCCTCTGTCTAATGTTGTTTCTGCAGACTGTTGGAATGTCTATTTATGGCAGCATGGGACACTGTGTGTGTGTGTGTGTGTGTGTGTGTGTGTGTGTGAGTGTGTTTCCTGTTGTCCTGTGATTGGTCAGTCATGTTGTGAGTCATATCATGGGTCGTGGTTCATTGTCCTCCTCATCTCTGTCTAGGGTGAGTCTACTTATCAGTCTAGACATCAGTACTATTGACTCCGCATGGTTATGAACTTGTTCTCTGGACTTGTTTGGTCCACATGAGGAAAACAACTTATAAATCATACTAAATTATGTTTTTTGAAAATGTAAAAATGGATAGGATAGGATGGATAGGTTTAGGTATACAGGGGTATACAGTTTGTACAGTATAAAAATCATTATGTCTAGAACGTCCCCATTAAACATGGAAACCCAACGTGTGTGTGTGTGTGTGTGTGTGTGTTTGTGTGTGAAATAGAGAGAAAGTATCTGAAAGTATTACTTGCAGTAGCCTCGATTAAACAATAAATCAGCAATATTTATACCACAATCTCTCATGACAAAAGTCTCAGAGCGTGAACACAATGAGCTTTCTGTTTATTCTATAATTGGAATATGAATGTCAATGAAAAAATTCATTGGATAATGAATGATGTTTTTTTCTGCCATCACTATGTACAGGTGAAACTAAAAAAAAATTGAATATCGTGCAAAAGTTCATTTATTTCAGTAATTCAACTTAAAAGGTGAAACTAATATATTATGTAGACTCATTACATGCAAAGTGAGATATTTCAAGCCTTTAGTTGTTATAATTTTGATGATTATGGCTTCAGCTTATGAAAACCCTAAAGTCAAAATTAGAATATTGTGAAAAGGTTTTCATATCTGTAAGCCATAATCATCAAAATTATAACAACTAAAGGCTTGAAATATCTCACTTTGCATGTAATGAGTCTACATAATATATTAGTTTCACCTTTTAAGTTGAATTACTGAAATAAATGAACTTTTGCACGATATTCAATTTTTTTTTAGTTTCACCTGTACATAGTGATGGCAGAAAAAAACATCATTCATTATCCAATGAATTTTTTCATTGACATTCATATTCCAATTATAGAATTGATCCAATAATTGATGTATTTGCAAGATTTCAAAATTAAAAATGTAGCTAAATCTGACAAAAACCTCTCTTGAGGACATACTATAAATAATATAATACAATAATTTATAAATAATACAAATTTTTTAGGGCTATCATACTTAATGTGTTAACTTAAGGTATTAAATATGTTTATATAATAATAGGAATAAAAATTATTTAAAAAAAGCCTTTTTATTTAGAAAGTGGTTCCTCTTCTTAAACAAGAAAAAGTGTGAAAACCCTTGTTCAGTTTTATTTCCCCATTTAGATATTGAGGTAAACACATGTGTGTGTGTGCTCTAAGCAGCATTTAAGGTCCTCTGGAGATCGTGAGAAACGGGAGAGTCTCATAGCAATCTTGGCATGAGTGTAGTATACACAATCTCTGCTGTATCAGCTCTCAGATCAGCTTTTTAAAGAAATAACTCATGAAAAATATGCTTGTTGTAGGTGTAGTAGTTTTGTACTGATGTCTTTTTTGTGATTACTGATCTGTACTGAGAAATATCTCTTCTCCTCTGCAGCATGTGGAGAGGCCTCAATGTGAACTGTGCAGACGGCTCAGGATACACACCTCTGCACCACGCATCTCTAAACGGACACAGGTGACACACTCATATTCTCTCATTCATTTACAGGTTCTTGAAAAGTGAACAGCTGAATCAAGGTGTAAATCAGTTAATGCTCAATCAAATGAATGAACGCTCACACATAACAACCCAGCAAGCACTATCCGTCATTTCACCATCTAGGTTAACTATAGACCCAATATAGTCTGGCTATGAGGAACCCACTTCTAGCCAAATTAACCTTGAATTAGGTTACATGTCGTTTTTGCCAAAATACCTTGTGAGATGTTATGTATGATATTCCACCATGTAAGCAAAGTCAACAGTCATTATAAGGTGTTTGGTTTCATTTCTTTGACATGTTCTATGCATAGCCGGTGCGTCTATTCTTGGGCTATGTTTAGATGTCTATTACATTTTCATTGACAGCTCAAATTTGGCCTTGTTTTAGCCAAGGCGTCAGGGCTTTGTTTGGACGGCTATTAGACGTCTTTTAAACCCCAATTGCTTGCTGGGAAGCTTTGCACACATTCACTCCAGAACATCTCAGACAATCACTCCCTCCCAACATGGTGTTATGGATTTAAAAAGGGAAACCGCTAGACGTCGGGATTACTTGAGATTTCAGAGGTGTAATCCAGCTCATATACATCAGGATTAGAAGAGTGTGATGTCAGATTAGGGCGGGGTTTATGAAATGGGGGTGAGGTTCAATTAGGGCAGGGTTTGTGAATCTAAGGACAGCTATATTAGGGTGGTTAGAGTTTTATTTGATTAGTGAGGGGTTTATGGGACGGGGCGGTGTCAGATTAGGCTGATTTTATAAAGCAGGGATGAAATTTGATTGGTTTAAGGTTTTTGGCTGGTTTAAATGCTTGCTGTTAGAATGAGGCCAGATTTTGCATAACATGAATTATGTGTTGTTAGGATTAGAGCACAATTACCCCCTTCATAATGTGCCTGCGAAGTTAAATAGTACCACAGAAGATTTATGGGATTTTCTTTATTTAAGAATGAAAATTGCCCACACAATTACAAAAACGTGAAATCTTTCTTATTTGTCTTTCTCTCAGGGACGTGGTGTTGAAGTTGTTGCAGTTTGAAGCCACTACTAATGTGGCTGACAGTAAGGGCTGTTTTCCCCTGCATCTGGCCGCATGGAGAGGTGACGTGGACATAGTCCAGATACTGATCCACCACGGGCCGTCCCACAGCAGGGTTAATGAACAGGTACTGTACCCTTACAGCAAATTTAGTCTTTGTAAGCTTAGCGCTCAGTCAGTCACTATTGTCTTTTTAGAGCTGCTTTACTTACAGGAGAAATTGAATTGTTTGCATCACTGAATCATTATTTCCTCTTTTAACATTTTTTCCTCTTGTAAAGCTGCTATGAAACAGTCTGTATTGTATAAAGCACTATAGAAAAAGGTGACTTGACACATTTCATCATGTGGCAGATGAAAATAGTACGTCGGAAAAGAAATAGCATACCTTTCCTCAACATGCTGCCACAGTTTGAGGTACCATCCATTGTCCAAAATAATGGGTGATGAGCTGCACTTTAATACTTAGGGGTTTGTTCAAATCCAAACAGCAATAACAAGCACTAGTAATGAGTGCTATTGAGCACTCTACCATAGTCTAGTACAAATGTACAAACACTTAAAACACTTGTTTTGAGCACACAGTCCCCGTGTACTCAATCATGCACACATACACACTCTTAACAGGTTTTTTTTTGACAGTTTTAGACCTGTTCCTCGCATCTCAGCGTGTTGATGGGCTGATGGAGGGTTTGTTGAGCAGAATCAAGGCAGCTCTGTGAAAAGCCTGTATTTACCTGCAGTTAAAATGCTGTCTCGGTGCAAGGAAGAGTGCAGCTTTCTCTCCTGCTGTCTACCTCACTCTTAATGACCACACTAGCCTGAGAAACAATTACCTCCAATCTTCAGCCACTAAACCATCAGCTTGATGGATAGACCTTCACCGCCGGCATGAGTGCGTTTCGGAGAGACAAAGACGGTGTACGGCAATCATTTACAATGTCAGTAGTCTGTTAAAAATGATTAGGGCCTTCGTTTTTAATTCATAAAAGGACGTTGTTTTGAATTGGCTTAAAATTAATTCAACTCAAATTCAGGAAGCTTTCTCAACTCAATTAGTGCTGCACAACCCTGACTGATGGCTGGTGGTTGATAACAAACAGCTGTGACCTTTCACTCTGTTAAAAATGTTGCTTTCACTCCATTTTTACATCCTTCTCTCTAAATGTATGTGCAGCACCTTAGGAACAATAAGCAAAGCAAAAGTGGTGATACACACACAGCCGGTGGCACGGACATTATGGCATATATTACACTGCAGCGTGGGATGCTGAGCTCTTTATGACTTGGGCATTACTCATATCCGAATATAATACTCATATATTTGGTGTCAGAGGGTATATGCTATTATTTCAGCACTGCTAATTAGAGGCTGTTTATAGCCCCATCTCTTTAAGCTAAGTGTTTTATAGTTTTTTTATGCTGACACAAACAAACACAATGGCTATAAACACTCCGGGAATATCAAAAAGTTTTTTGAAATTGTGTGCTGTTCTAAGTGCCTATTTAAAGATTGCGATGTCCATATAAATATTCATTTGAGCCTGTGTGTGTTGTCCAGATTTGTAAATGCAATAAAAGGGGAGAGTTTCCATTTATCATTCTTCTATCTGGAAGGACATAAAAATCAATCTAAACACTCAACGCATCTCTGCCATGTACATATTGAAGATCCGCTTCAAACGTACCTGCAGGTGATTTGTCACCCAGCGATCTCCATCATTACAGAAAAGAACATGACAGCCTGTGACAGGCCCATTTTATAGCATAAGACTTTATATTAAGGAAAGTCTGTGCTAATTTACTTGAAGAGTACTGATAACATTCAGCTAAGTGAGCAGGTTCTGGAAAGGATAGTACACCTGAAAAGGAAAGTTCTGTCATCATTTACTCATCCTCACGTCTTTCTAAACCTGTATTACTTTCTCTCTTAGAGCACAAACGGTACATTCATGTTAGTGCACTAGAGCAAGTTTTGTTTTAAATACATATAAAGAGGCTATTGGTGTGTCCATTTGTGGATTGATGCCTGATTTATCGACCGATTACAGAGGCAGAAAGTGCTTCAATTAAATGATTTTGTGTTTACTTATACATTGGGGGACAAATCTGTCCGCAGTGGTGAGCTAATTCTGATGAAACCTTCCTTTGGGAAAAAGGAGTCAAATTAAATCAGGATATGGCTATTCTGTAGCATTTAGATTAATTTTCTATTAAAGCTGATATGATATAATATAAAAAAACACTACCATTCAAAAGTTTGAGGTCTACTATTTTTTAATGTTTCTGAAAGAAGTCTCTTATGCTCACCTAGGCTGCATTTATTTGCTCAAAAAAACATGCAGTAAAAACAGTAATTTTGTGAAATATCATTCCAATTTAAAAGAACCGTTTACTATTTGAATTTTTTTTTTTAAATGTATTTTATTCCTGTGATGGCAAAGCTGATTTTTTTTTAGCATTATTACTTCGGTCTTCAATCACCTGATCCTTTAGAAATCATTCTAATATGCTGCAATACAGTATTTACTTGGAAATTGGAATAGAGAACTTTTGTAACATTATGAATGTATTTTCTGTCACATTTGATCAATTTAATGTGTCCCTGCTGAATAAAAGTATTCTTTAAAAATCTTAACAATCCTAAAAGTTTGAACAGTAGTGTAATATATTTAAAAACAATAGATGTATTTCAATAGCTAAGATGTGTTTTTGAACATATGGCCATAGATGCTTAGTGGATGAAGTCTTTATGTGTTTGAGTGAGAGAGAGAGTGTGTGTGTGTGTGTGTGTGTGTGTGTGTGTGTGTGTGTGTGTGTGTGTGTGTGTGTGTGTGTGTGTGAGAAAATGGATAGTTTTGTGCGTTACTCAGGAATGTTTTGTTTTCTGGCTGGGAGGACGAAAGGTTACACCATTTTCTCTGACTCCAGATTCGCTGAGCCCACAAGAGACGGCCCTCTGAATTCCTCTATTTCTCTCTCACACACACACACACACACAGCCAGCGTATGCCAGATGTGTTTGTGAGTCCGGTGTCAGATCCCTCGTGTTAACACTCTCACCAATTTCTTCTCACAGTTCACAGTTCCGGATTAAGATCCACCTTATTGGTCAAGTAGCACAGAGAGGTTCTCGAATCTCAATCGATTTTTTGATTGTTTAAAATTAACGGAGAACATCTTGTGTTTTTCCATGGGTGCTCGGCCATCCCTGGCACCTATGCTTCCTGCCTTAGCCAAACAAGCGTACAGTATGTTAGAGAATAAGTTGAAGCATGTGTCTTATAGTTCGATGGTCACTTCTAGACCCAGCTTCCTGTGTATGAAATGGCATGGTGGCTTATATAAAGGAATATTCCGGGACAAAAAGTAATTTCCACTTGTCTCTCATTTTCTTATAAAGAAGCAAAAATCTGGGTTACAGTGAGACACTTAAATGGGAGTGATGCTATATACCCTAAAACCCTAAAATGTCTGTAAAATGATTATTTAAACACCTTCATAGTACATATTATAACAGAAGGATCAAAGTGCTTTTATAAAATTATACATTTTACATTTCTGCTTTTAAATCCTCCAAAATGTTTCCCCATTTACTTCCATTGTAAGTACCTTTAATTATCGAAGTACATTTTATTTTATTTTTAATTTATTTTTATTTGTGGCAATCAACATTAAATGCTGTCTATTGAGCTTAACTTGTATTGAACCTGGATATATTCCTTTAATTCTATAATATTGGCTCAAGAAACAAATCCGCATTAAACTGCACTGGATAGTACAGGATAGCTGAGACTAATGCGCTAATCCACACCTCCTCTATCCTCCCGTGGGCTGTACTGTCTGTCTGTACATCTGCTTTAGTGCTCCGCTAAGAGACGAGACTCACAGGGTCCTCATCTGTGAACAAAGCACTTTTGTTGAGCCTGTTCGTCTATTTTATACTTTTAATTATGTGTTTTGTGTCGTCTAAAGTGCTGATTGCTCTAGATACACCGTCACTATTATGTGTCATTTCATTTATTGAATGTGATTGCCTGTTCTTCTGTTGTTTTATCATGTCAGCCCATCTTGGAAATTAACCAATAGGGTGTGAACAGTATGGAGTGGGAAAGCGATCCGCTGTCTCTCTGGATATTGCGCTGTCTGGCCGACATACAGATGCACAATCGGGGCTGAGCTTATAGATGCAGGAAATTACCGTGTGTGTTTGGTGTTCAAGGCCAAAAAAGGGAGATTAAAGGAAGAAAGGCAGGACAGAGAATATGAGTGAGCGATAGAGAGAGTGAGAGAAATCTGTCTCCAGTATCAGGTCTGTTTCTTTGTGGTGCTTCAGGGACTGGGAGTCTCTTATCATCATTTTCAATCATGTCTGGCTAATTAAGGAACCCATTTGCTTGAAATAAGTCATTGCAGTTAAAGCGGCCGCTCTCTCTCGCTGCAGCTCGCTTGTTTATTGCCAGACCTGCAAGAATGCTCCTTCTGTCTTGATGCTACAGACATAACCGCTCATTTCTCACTCGCCTGAGTTTGTTGGAACACCCCTTTAAACACATAAACACAAACACACACATATAGTCAAGAGAACAAGTGTGGTGTGCAGTAGTGGCAGTAGAGGGTGCTGTTATGTTACAATAGGGTTATGGCCTGTTCGTCAGTGCACAGTTCCAGTTTCATTATTGGAAGATATTCTCAGTACACTTGTAGGTTTACAGATTTGAACAAACCTCTAATTCGTCCCACACTACGTATTTGCGCACATGGAGGAGAGTTGTGCTGTTACATTTCTAAGCGATCAGTCAATGAAAATAGATAGAATTATAATAAAGGGGACAATTTCTCATTAATGCAATTATCTAATCAACCAATCACATGGCAGTTGCTTCAATGCATTTAGGGGTGTGGTCCTGGTCAAGACAATCTCCTGAACTCCAAACTGAATGTCAGAATGGGAAAGAAAGGTGATTTAAGCAATTTTGAGCGTGGCGTGATTGTTGGTGCCAGACGGGCCGGTCTGAGTATTTCACAATCTGCTCAGTTACTGGGATTTTCACGCACAACCATTTCTAGGGTTTACAAAGAATGGTGTGAAAAGGGAAAAACATCCAGTATGCGGCAGTCCTGTGGGCGAAAATGCCTTGTTGATGCTAGAGGTCAGAGGAGAATGGGCCGACTGATTCAAACTGATAGAAGAGCAACTTTGACTGAAATAACCACTCGTTACAGCCGAGGTATGCAGCAAAGCATTTGTGAAGCCACAACATGCACAACCTTGAGGCGGATGGGCTACAACAGCAGAAGACCCCACCGGGTACCACTCATCTCCACTACAAATAGGAAAAAGAGGCTACAATTAGCAAGAGCTCACCAAAATTGGACAGTTGAAGACTGGAAAAATGTTGCCTGGTCTGATGAGTCTCGATTTCTGTTGAGACATTCAGATGGTAGAGTCAGAATTTGGCGTAAACAGAATGAGAACATGGATCCATCATGCCTTGTTACCACTGTGCAGGCTGGTGGTGGTGGTGTAATGGTGTGGGGGATGTTTTCTTGGCACACTTTAGGCCCGGCCCCTTAGTGCCAATTGGGCCTCGTTTAAATGCCACGGCCTACCTGAGCATTGTTTCTGACGATGTCCATCCCTTTATGGCCACCATGTACCCATCCTCTGATGGCTACTTCCAGCAGGATAATGCACCATGTCACAAAGCTCGAATCATTTCAAATTGGTTTCTTGAACATGACAATGAGTTCACTGTACTAAAATCAATGGCCCCCACAGTGACGAGATCTCAACCCAATAGAGCATCTTTGGGATGTAGTGGAACGGGAGCTTCGTGCCCTGGATGTGCATCCCACAAATCTCCATCAACTGCAAGATGCTATCCTATCAATATGGGCCAACATTTCTAAAGAATGCTTTCAGCACCTTGTTGAATCAATGCCACGTAGAATTAAGGCAGTTCTGAAGGCGAAAGGGGGTCAAACACAGTATTAGTATGGTGTTCCTAATAATCCTTTAGGTGAGTGTATATTTGACTTGTGTCACTAAAAACACCTAGCACCCACTCAACACTGCCATTAGATCTATCATTTCATCATTATATGATGGCAACATGACAGCTAATGCATTCAGATGTTTCACTTTCAAGTAATTTGTCTGTATCAGTTTTAACTAGCATTCATGTGATAGAGGGATAATTCGATCAGGATGTGCATCTTTGCTGCTGTGTATCGTCTTATGTGTAAAAAAAAACCCTGACAATAGCCTGCAGGCAGTTGCATTGCATTATGGGAGATATTTAGGGCAGCGAGTGATTGACAGTGAGTTGTCACGGTTAAATGACAGCTCATGTTTGGATAATGGATGCTTCATAATGAGTTTATTACATCCTGTCTGTCTCTCCTTGTCTCTCTCTTTCTCTCTGATGTAGAACCTTGAGAAGGAGACGGCTCTGCACTGCGCAGCTCAGTACGGTCACTCTGAGGTGGTCCGTGTTTTGCTGCAGGAGCTGACGGACCCCAGCATGAGGAACAGCCGCGGGGAAACACCGCTGGACCTGGCTGCCATGTACGGCCGCCTGCAGGTGGTTTGCATGCTACTGACCGCCCACCCCAACCTCATGAGCTGCAATACACGCAAACACACGCCTCTTCACCTGGCCGCACGGAATGGCCATTACACTACCGTTCGAGTGTTGCTGGAGGCCGACATGGACGTTAACACACAGGTCAGTGCGTAAACAGGATATCCTCTTCCTCTTGAACTCATATGTTACACACACTTTTTTGCTCCAGCTCTCAGTTCTGTCATGACAACTCTCGGAGTTTGGCATGGGAATAAGTATGACAATGTTAATGTGTTTGGTGTTGGCGGAATAGATCTGCTACGCTGCTCCTGTTATTGCTGCAGAGCGAGGACAGAACTTGCTACTGCCAATACACATCACATGTTGCTATGAGCAAGCAAGAAATGCTGCTGCTGTACAAAATAGCATACATGAATTACCATTGTAGCAGATCTATATAGGTGGAGCTGGGGGAGGTGAAGGGTTTCTGAAAGCACACTGCAAACTGCTACATCAAAGAATAGGCAAGAATTGAAATGTTGAGCAGCGAGCTCATTGGCTACCAATCAACTGTGCCCTATAGAGAATGATGTAACTGCAATTAGATTGGGTTAAGGACTTATGAGCCTGCGCCATCTAGAGTTTTATAACAGAACTTTGTATTTGGCATGCTTATTTGTGAGAGAGAGAGTGTGTGAATGGTTTAAGGGCTCAAATGGATGAATAATTCATCTAGCTGTGAGAGTAAGTGAAACGCAGTAGAGGAACACTCTGTTCTCAATCCAGGGTTTCCTCAGGCTTCCCTGGTGTGTGTTTACTTATGTTATACTTTAGGGACACATTTTGTACCAAGAAGTGACCTAAATCGTACAAACCTTCCCTTTGGGAACATTTGAGGACATCTGGGAATGCCCTCAATTGTAAAAACAATTGTAAAAGGAAAAATAAATTCCTTAGGATGAATTCCTTTGAAAACAATTTAGGATTAGACAGAGAATAGTAAATGTATCATTTGTTAGTATGAAAAAATAATTCTGTGTATGAAAGGTTCTCATTAATATAAGGTTTTTGTCTGCGTTCTTGTTAGATATGTGGTTGTCAAACTACTATTTTGTGCATGTTTGTGATGTAATAATGCCGGTGTGTGTGTTCTTGGATGGGCTTGTCTTATTTATCAGGCTGTAAAGCTGTTTGTATGGAAACTGTCTTTTTAGGCATTGTGTGTGTGTGTGTGTGTGACGGAAAGCTGCTGAATTGTCTGTGTTTGAATGGTTCTGTGTTGTGTGTGTGAGAGAGGATGATCAGAGGAAGCTTTGATCTCAGAAAGCATGGATTCCCCTTCCTCTGTCCCTCTCTGTCTCCTGTCTCAATGAAAGATACAGTATTATTTGAACATTCATATTTTAACCCTGTAAAGTGCAACAAAGAGTGCTAACCAGACATGTTACAATTTGACTGTCCACTGTGAATGAGAACTGATGTTTAATACGCATTTATGATACACTGAAATGTCGTAGATGAAAAAAACACAACAAAAATATAACAAAATTTATTCCCAGGTTAACACGAAATGTTGGATCACAGGAGTGAATGAGTTAATCTTTTATGATGCGTATCTCTCTAGTCTTCCATCTTCTTTCCTCCTCTGAGAAAGACACTATGTAAGTGCGTAACTTGCAAAAACATTCAGCTGAAGGAGAACAGTGAGGAAGAGAGATGAAGGCAATCTGCTCACCGCTTCTTCTCAATTCCTGGAAGCACAGTGAGAGTGAATCGATTTCCTCCTCCTGGTGACATCAATAGCTAATCGCCATGGGAAACAGGACAGGAAGTGGTCCTCATTCAGAGGAGGGGGTCCCACTTCCCGTCCCGTTGTGGGTGCACTCGCTGCTCATCCCGAACTGCACAGATTTCTGAGTTTAAACTTTCAGGAGAACAGTGCGCTCTGCAGTATTTACCATGCTCATTCAGGATTAAGCCTCATTCACAACATTTTAGTCGTTCTGGACCATTCAGTGATCTGGACTGGACTTTAACCTCAGGTTCAAGGATGAATGTCTTATCTGCGACTAGTTTGTGGGTTTTCTCTGAGTAAGTAATCACAGTGGATGTGAGCTCTGTATGTTTTAAAGGCGAAACTTTATGTAAGCTTTACGTTTGTATCCTCAGATTTACTGGGTTTAAGCTTGATAGTACGCTGTCCAAAAATGTGTACCATTAAATTGCCACTGGCGCAGTACCCTCAAACACACACTTTTGTGCCTTATCTACATCTAAAGAATGCATATTAGTACCCGAGGGCTATATTTAGGGTTCCTAAAGGTACAACATTTTTCCACATTCTTCCAACAGTGTACCAGCACTACATTTATAGTCTTCTTTTTATGTAACCTCATGTGTGTGTTTGCCTCATTTTCAACTTCTCTCTAAGAACTTTCAGCAGACTCGTGGGCGTTCACAGGATGCGTTCTCGTGATCAAGAACAGTACGACCGGCCCGACTGAATGGAACAGAACTCGGGGTCTTGAGACACAAGCTTCTTCCGTTCACACAGAACGTGTTTTTGCATTTAAAAACACAAGACACAGGGTGTTGGAATAGAAAAAACACAATGTCTCAAGATGCCTTTTTTAAAAGTTGAACTTTTTTTAACTTGAGTGACACATTTTTAGAAGCTGCAAAAGACACAAAACGCGAGTGAAAAACAATGGCGAAGAGTGCAGTGTAATGTAATAACATATTCTACTGTATGTGAACGTCCCTTATGGTGCATATCAGAAAACAATACTCAATTGATTTAAATGGGGATGATACATCCCTAGATCCTATATATATAAAATTGAAATGGGTATGAAAGCGAAAAATTTCTATTCTTTTTTTCTGCTGCAAGACTCTGATGTAGACATCTGTTGACCAATGAGACCATCCCAAAAGTGGTTCCAGTTCATAAACTTGCAGGGCTCTCACTTGATTTAAAATTGACCCAGAAAATTGACTTTACACCTTCAAATCAGATTTTGAGCATTCCTACCTGCCAAACATAGAAACTATACAGCTGCCAAAGACGTTCATCAGACATGTATGTGATTTTTTTTTTTAAATGCCCTGTTGGTAATGTTACAAAGACTTAAACGTAACATGATCTATCAGGACTATTAAGCAAAAAAGATATTAATGCCATTAATTCTATTGCTAGACAAAAACAGTGCCTAAAACTGTCTCAAAATTTTGCACAGAGGTAGTTTTGGCTCTCCCAGACTGCCTTGCAGAAGGTCAGTGCTGTTTTTTCAGCAATTTGAGATGCATGATTATTTACAGTGAGTCCCTGTAGTTCTTGTTTAATGTGTATTGCATCATCACATCCATTGAGGGAATACAGGGAGAAGAGCAAGCACTTGAGTTGTACAGATGCCTCTGTACTAATGAAGGCCGGAGAGGGCCAATTTGATGTGGTATTGTGTTCGGTCTCCCGGTGGCCTATTAAAATGACCACACTCACCAGTGCAAGAAGCTCTCGTAATCTGTCTCGACTGCCGTTCGGTCTAATTTGCCCGTTCCTTTCCCTCTCAAGCTCCCGTCAGTCAGCCTCATAAATTCACAGCGCCATTGTAGTTAATTGTAGTACACTGAATAAATGTTTCCGGAGCTAAATTGGGTGTAGTTAAGTACTTCACTGTGAGCGTGATAAAAAATACCCTGCCAGTCGCCCCAGTAGACGGCTGATAGACTGCAAGTAGTAATGACGCCGTAGTGTATTACTGCCATTTACTTCTTTATGCGAGGCATTTAGGCTTAAAATAATGACTTCAAATCTTTCTCTCTCTAGACAGAGAAAGGAAGCGCTCTCCACGAAGCCGCTCTCTTCGGAAAGATGGATGTAGTTCAGCTACTGCTTGACTCAGGTATGTCTTGGGGAAGTGTATGTGTGTGGGGTTGGGATGGGGATGTTGCACGGCCATGGTTTGTTTAAACTACTTGTGTGACCTGTGACCTAACAGCTTCCCTGTCAATGCGCCAGCTGTGGAACAGGAACTGGAGATTGCGGAACTTGTTGTTGTATAAGGAAAGGGAGGTGTAATCACTCTGTCGTAGTTTTATTGTTATGGAAAGTTTTATTTTAGGAAAATTTAATTTAATTTAATTTTTTATGGGTTTATGGGAAGAAGTCCCGATTTTTTTATTGTATCATTTCCATTAAAAATAAAAAAATATTAAAAATATTAAATTATATCTAATTTATATGAATATTTTTGTTAAAATAAAAACTAAACTGAAACTTTAAATGTGCAAAAAATTCAAATGAATTCTCAATAAAAAAATAATTTTCATATTTAAATGAATATCCCAAGCTTCACTTTGGATCATGTTCACTGTGTTCTGTCTAAAAGCACCTCTTAATTAAACAAGACGCAGCCATCTAATTGACATATAAAACAGCTAACCACAGTTCACTTGTTGGATTTTCTAATTAAGTGTCGTGCCATTATAGGCAGATGGAACAGTTTTGTAGTGTTGCTTTATCAGGAATAATAATAAAAAAACATTAAAATATAAACTAAATAAAGTAATACACTAAAACGAGTTTTTTAAAATAAACAAATTAACGGAAAAAAGGATACAAATTAGGAAAAATTAAAGAAACTAAAAATCAAATACAAAATTAACCTTTTTTCTTCTTCTTTTAAATTTTTTTTCTCAGGGATTGATGCCAACATCAGAGATTGTCAGGGAAGAACTGCTCTAGACGTACTGAGAGAACATCCGTCTCAGAAATCACAACAAATTGCTTCTCTCATACAAGGTAAAGCATTTGCCAGACTTTTTTTTAAAGCAAAAAAAGCCCTTAAACACATAAGCACACTCACACACACGTGCACAAGCTGATGAGGGAGCGTGTTCCTGGTGGAGATCAGAAGGCGGATGCTTGCAGATTGATAAAGTTCGTTTCAGGAAGTTTGTGTTAGATTGAGAACAATGGTTGTTTAGTGCGTGTGAAAAATTCTTGTTCCTTGAAATATTTTATGCCAAAAAACCAACCACAAATACCAACAATACTTTTGTTGAGGTATGTTTGAGATCTTGGAGTTATTACATGTTTATTACTTTGTTATACACATATTATTACTACTTTAGGCCATTTTCAGTATTATAATATATTAGATGATTCTGAAGTCTGATTCCATCTTCCTTCATATACTGATCCAACTAAACTCATTCTTTCCAGCAGTTAATCATACAGCACAACAGACGTTGGGTGTTTGAACCTAATGTTCCATCTCTGCTTTCAAAAAAACACCCCCGTAAAATAATAAGATGTGGTTATCTGGTTTTGAAATTAAATTCATTTTAGCTCTCTTGTTGTTTCCATCCACTTTATTCCCAGCGTTATACATTTCTGAGGGTTGTGAAACTGTGAGACTGTTACTGCTCGAAAATGTCATCTTTGGACACATGCGAAGTCTAAATCACCCTTCGCCCTATAGGACAGAGGCAACATTAAAGTTCTCCTCCCTGTCTCTGTGTGGTCAATTAACCCGAATCCCCAGAGTGAAGGAATCTCAAACTCACGCTTGCTTGCTGTGGTTTTATAATCTACAGTCTTTGACAGGAGTCTGAAACTATTGTTGTTTTCATGCTTATCGTGTGGCTTGTGCAGCCTATAGTTGTTTAGAGCTGCAATTTCAGCAGCACATTTTGGTTTCTTTTCATCAACCTAAGGTGTTTTATTTCTCTCCAAAGAACAAGAGAATGATTTCGGTTTTGCTTGTTTTGACATTTCAACCCCTCATCTTGTACCCCTTGCTGTCCTAAAACTGAGCAAACTGGTACGTCAATGTACTTTTGTGGTTGTTTTTCTGTTCACTATAAATTAATTTATCTCTGTCTCTCTAGATTATATGATGTCAGATTGTGACAGAGGGAATTTCCATGAAGATTTAGCACGGCAGCGCCCAATACCAATACCAACGCCACGCACATCAATACCCTCACCTGTGCCCTCCCCGTCTCTGCGGCATAAAAGTATGTGTGATTGTCAGATCAGTGAAAACTGCAATGTTCTTAATACATTCAATCAAAACCATCATACAATAATTACATTTAATAACACAGCTAAATACACTATTTTAACACTTAAATTAAAAATTCATGACTCATCCAAGTGCTTACCGCTCATCATGACTGCTGTCACTTTCATGCATTTTAGTGTGGAGTGCGACACCCAGTGGTCAAGGGATCGTATTACAGCACATTGTCTGCTGCGTTGTTGTTTTTTTCCTAGCAAATATTTTACTGTTTAATCCTATGTTTGAACGCCTAAATCACTTAAACATCGTTTTTAATTAAGAATAATCTTATTTTGCTTAGTATTTTCATAACAGGAACACAAATAGTGACATAAATGAGTATATGTTTTGAGTAGTGGATGTTCATTATGAAGAAAGTACAGTCAGCAGCGCCCCTTGTGGTCAGTTGTTGCAGCGCAGTCTTACTCGTTCCCTTTGTGCTCTAAATTACTGCTGGATGTGCGTCTTTCATTCCAGCTGGAGTAGCATTTTGGTAAGGATAACAACAGGTAAATCCGAGAGTCTGCCAACCACAAAATTACTGTTAGCACACATCAGCACACTGAGTCGGTGCCAGAAAACAAGCACTTGTCCCAGATTAAATATTGAAAAACAGACAAGACAAATAAATAAAGACAAAAATAAATAGGTCGGCTCTCGCTATGAATGCTCTGTAAGTAAACATTTATTTAAAAGCCCTTACAGAGAAATTTGATGTGCTTTTGGTAGCATGATACACTCCATAAATGCACACAATTTAAAATTAATTTTATTATATTGTGCTAATTTGACGTGACAAAACTCTACTGGTAACATTTTACAACAAGGTTCATTAGTTAACAATAGTTAACTACATTAGTTAACATTAACTAATAATGAACTGGACTTATACAGCATTTGTTAATCTTTGTTAATGTTAATTTCAACATTTACTAATACTTTATTAAAATCTTGTTAGCATTAGTTAATGCACTGTGAACTAACATAAACAAACAATGAACAGCTGTATTTTTTATTATTAACGTTAACAAAGATTAACAAAAACAGTAACAGATGTATTGCTCATGGTTAGCTTGTGTTAGTTAATACATTAACTAATGTTTAATGAATTAACCTCATTGTAAAGTGTTACTACTGTACTTTTTATTGCTGAAGTGTTTGCACTATTGCACACAGCTATTTGTAATTAATAGTAATAAATAAAATGATATATTAGTAGAAAGTAAAATAATATTTAGGGCTGTCAAACGATTAATCGCGATTAATCGCATCCAAAATAAAAGTTTGTGTTTACATAATATATGTGTGTGTACTGTGTATAATTATTTTTAATACATAAATACCCACACATGCATGTGTATTTAAGAAATATTTGCGTGTATATACTGTGTATAGACTGAATGTAGCCTATATATAATGTATATTTTATATAAATATAAACATTTTATATATAAATAACATATTTTTCTTAAATATATATATGTGTGCATTTATATACTAAATAATTATACACAGTACACACACATATATTATGTACTGTAAACACAAACTTTTATTTTGGATGCGAATAATCGTTTGACAGCCCTATATATATGAAATAAAGTAAAATTATATTTATATATATATATATATATATTTATATAATTGTAAAAAAATTATATTTAAAAAAGATTTATATTTAACTAGAAATAATAACAAAAAAAAAGAATTCCTCTATTTCACCATAAACACCATAAATTCATTTAAATTCATAGTTTGAATTCTCTCTCCCTTTTTCTCCTTCGCTTTGTAGATGATGCAGTAACAGGGGAGTTGTCCAAGTTGCTGAATGAAATAAAGATCTGCCGTGATAAGGATTGCTCCTTTGAAGAGCTCTGTCAGACCATCTCTTCTCACTCTCAGTCCATGGAGAGCTTCGGCAGTGGGCGGCTGTCTGACGAGGAACGCAACGGCACTCTCACTCGAATAAACAAGGTGTGCTTGCGAAGAAAATACAGTGCAGTTTATGGCTTTTTGGTGGTTTTTGAACAGGTTTTACACAATGATTAGAAATGTTTAATCTGAAACGTCCCTCTAAAATATCAAATATATTCTGGCATCTGTTTTCCAAGAAAATGAAACCAGTCGCGTCAATCGATCAATATCAAGATTCAAGAGATCCTAATGGGATTTTCACTGACTGTTGATGCAGTATCTCACTCTGGCCAGCAGAGGGAACACAGAACTAAACACTGGGTGCAGTGCTGGGTATCCCTTCAATTTATATAATCTCATAAATATATATTTATAGCTCTAAACAGCCCCAGATTTAATCGCTGACGTTATTTAACACAAACAGAATCTTATTTTTGATGTGGCTTCATCACACTGCTGGCTGAGGGAGGCAATTATACTTGATGTAAGGGACAGATAAACAGTGCATTAGGAAAGTGTGCAAGAACGTTATGCAATGGTTATTTGCTGAAGATCTGTCGCAGTGACCACTGGATCACGGTATACTCCACTGCGTTTGTTTGATCGATACAATTAAACGTGTTTGTGTCGGGTCAATCAATCAAAGTCTGCAGAGCCCAGATAAACAAGCAAAGACACGCACGCACACAGACACTCTTCCGATCGATTCCAGTCACATGTCAAAAACTCCCAAGACTTGACTGAGGGGGTTAGAGTTGTTTCCAGCATCTATAAAAGGGTTCTGGGAACATTTTACAGGACATACATGCAGTTAGAAAACAATATTTTTATTTAAAACAGCATCATCTAATTAAAAATGAAATGTTTTGCTTATGTCAAAGGAATTATTCAGCTATTTTTCCCTTGCATATTTACATTAACATTTATGCATTTGGCAGTTTCTTTTATCCAGTGCAACTTACATTGCTTTCAAGGTACACATTTACCCTTTTTTTTAGTTCTTACTTTTCCCGGGAATCTAACCCATGAATGAACTACTGTATGAGCTACAGGAAAGCAAATATTTGAAGCACATGATCATTGTTTCACATACTAGTATCATATACAAATGAAATACACTTCATATTTGTATATGATACTTGTGTATTTTAGCTTTTGTCGCTCAACACGACTAGGAATGTGTTTCTACATGAGTTCTGGAGTTACAAAAAACCTTAGGAAAAGAATCAAACAAAATGGGTCATTGAGAGTCAGACAATGATTGTCACATGTTTAAATCTTGAGTTTTGTTTAATAAAGTCTGAATGTCACAGACAAGTAAAGCAAGTGTTCATGTTGGACTATAGAGTGAAACAGAGAAAGACACTTATCAGAAGTCCTATCAAAATAAATCAGTTCACATTTGTACAGAACTACGGAGCTCCAAAAGGGACATGGTGAAGAAAAATAAAAAATGAGATGGGAGAAATTATTTGTCAATGCTTTTCCATTCCCTCGCAGATGTTTTGCGTTTCTCCTAGAAACTTTGAGTTCGCTTGCAAAATGTTTGCGTTACACCAAGAAATTTTGCGTTCGCTCGCAAAAAACACACAAAGTGGGGGTTTTTTTGTGAGTGAACAAGTTGGTTCAAGTGTCTGTACATAACAGTTCCTATCTACCTGAATGAGGAATGTCCAAAATAGTTTTTCAAGATTGTTTCAATAACGAATCAGCAATAAAATCTAACAAAAGTTTAGTCAAAATGTAGCTTATTTGGCTCCAAAAGGGCTAATCTAGACTGATTCCTCTAACAAAATGCTGATTGGCTTATAAACCTTTTAGGATTTCTTCCATTGGTTTATCTTTGAGTGGTCCGTCTCTTCCCCCTTATACCATCTCTGTCTTATCTTATCTTGTCTTGTGTTATGTTGGCATGAGCTGAGATCCTGTGTGTACTACTGTTGACTGTATGTAACTGTATGTATCTCTCTCCACCTGGCTGTAGCGTCCCACTCCCCCGTTGCCCCCGGCGATGGAAGAGGAGGAAAAGAGCTGCGGACCATCAGGCCTGTGGGAGGCGCTCACTCCCTGCAACGGCTGCAGAAACCTGGGCTTTTCTCAGGTACACACAGTCTCACACTTCCTTTCTTTACTATGCAGCCACAGACTCCTTAGTGGATGAAGAATTTGTAAAAGAAATAAAAAAGGAATGAAGTATGCATCAATCGTGTTTGGGGTCATTACAAGTAACGCGAGTTATGTAATCAGATTACTTTTTTCAAGTAACTAGTAAATTTACTTTTTCAAATAAGTAGCACAATTCATTTTGTTTTCCCATTTATTGACTGACATCTCCATGTTGAGAGAAATCTGGTGTAAGTGCAGAGGCGCTGTGTGAACATGATGGATATTGTTTTGTTCTAGATTAAAAGTGAGCATCTACTCATCTCACTTGCACAAAAACAGATTCAGTAATCCTCAAAGTGAATAAAAACAGTGAACTGCAAACTTTATTTCTATTACGCAAACCTGCAATAAGTTAAATAACACAAATACTTTCTATACTTTATGTATTTAATCTCACTTTACTAACCAGTATCTTTGCTGATGATCTTTGATGATCCAATTCAACCATACGAATAAGCAAAAATGACTTTAGCTAAACATCACATTTGTTTTTCTTTCTTTTTTTCTGAAGTAAGAGTGTTGAACTTTCTCCTCCTGTTTTCTATTCTTCTGCAATCCAGAATTGCAGCACAGCTGAAAGGTTTGTTTGAGCTGCGCCCTCTACTGTACAGACGTGAATTAGCATTTTCTTTTAGCCTTGTTCATTTAACTTTTGGTGTGAAAGGGCCAGTGCCAAAAATACTTTATTCTGTTATTAAAAAACAAACAAGTTCAACCCAGGTGAGAAAATGTAACGGAGAAGTAACGTAACTACTTTTTAAAGTAACTTTCCTTAACATTGGTCATAAAGTAGTCAATGAAATCAATCAGTCAATTGTTTTATATAATTTATTTATTTTTCTTATTTAATTTATCTATTTATTTGATAGATTTACATGCTTTATGATGCATTCTTTATTTCTATATTTTTATGTAAATACAAGAAATAAATGAATCAATAAAATATATTTAAAAAATAAAAATTCTATTTAAAAAAATCTAAATCTATCTAATTATGAATTGATTTATATTTCTTATTTGAAAAATATAATTTCTATATTTTTATATTAATAATAATTTATTATTTATATTTAATGTATTAGCATACTTTATGATGGATACCTATTTTTTGTATTTTTGTTTGAGATTTTATTTTAATTTCTTTCACAAAAAGGATTGGTGGACCCCTGAATGGGAATTAAAGACCCCTATTGTAAAGTTTTATATTCATATTGATTTATTTATATTCATTCTCATGGCAAAATGCAAGATGAATCAGGTATGTAAGTCATGACATGTTGTTATGGGAATCTTAGCCAACTAACCGCGAAGATCTTCAAAGACTTCTAAAAAAAGTTCTTTTTATCTTTAATTCTGATTGTGGATGAAACGATTATTGAGTGGATTGATGTTTAGGATGCAGAATGAGCAAGAGGGATTCCCATCCCTCAGACAGGAAGTCTAATTATCCCGCAGGAAGTGTAACCGTGTCACACGCTGATCCGCCCACCTGTGCCATGTGAGGAGACCTACCGCTACCATGGAAACAGGGATAGTGAAGGTGGGGGAGGGGAAGACTCAAGCTCCAAGTTGGGGTTCCTTGGACTGCGAGTCATACTTCTGCACCCGCAAACCAACCCTGAACTCCGTCACTGGCTCTCCTCCGCAGGGAGAGAGATAAGCACACGGATTCTGAGGGGTTCTCGTAGTTGCTAGGAGACACAGAAAAGTGCAAGGCGTGGGATATCCACCCACTTCTCAATTGACAGATCTGAGTCTCCATCAAAACAGGTGCGTCACAGCACTGCGCAATAACATCCAGAGAAAACATCCAGAGACAGAGAGAGAGAGAGAGACTGGGTATCAGCATCTGCTTTTTCATTCAAGCTGCTCTCCAGCATTCCTCTGCCTCTCTTTTATTATTTTTCTATCCATTCTTGTTTTTGTTTTTCCTGTTACGTCACACATTTGCATATTTAAAATCTGGGCCTGTGCATTTGTGTTGTTTGTTTCTACGGTTTGCACTTTTTTCCCCCCGCCTCTAATCCAAGTGCTGCAGTCAGCAAGCATGCTTTTCATGTTTATGCTGAAAATGTGTTGTGTTTTCAGACCAGAGTAAGCGCTCCCATCTGTAGCGTCTGCTTTGCAATGTTTTTCCCTGCAGATGAAATTACTGTTTACAAACAGACATTCTTTTGTGAGATTTCCAGATGGTTTTTGCTCCCTGGAAAAGACCTGTTTTAGATTAGGACTACAATATAATTGAACTGTTACCAAAAAGTGCTGTGTGTGGGGTTGAAAGCACTTTACGCTATAATATATCAATAGTAAGCATTATTATTATACATTACATTTATATAATATAGTTTTATATATACATTACAGTTAAAAAGTTTGGGGTCAGTAAGATTATTTTTTCTTCAGAGAAATTGATGCTTTTATTCAGCAAGGAGTGAGGACGCATTATCAAAAGTGACAGTAAATATACTGTCATGTTACAAAAGACTTACAGTAAATGCTGTTCTTCTGAACTGTCTATTCATCAAAGAATCCTAATAAAAATGTTTAATGATTTCCACAAAAATATTATACATTTTAGTGTTTTTAAATTTGACGAGAACTTTGGCAAGAAGAACTTGTTACAACACTGAAGACTGGAGTAATGATGCTGGAAATTCAGCTTTGCCATCAATAATAAATTACATTTTAAAATATATTAAAATATAAAACCGTTATTTTAAATTGTAATAATATTTCACTATATTACTGTTTTCCAAAACATTAAAAGACTTTAAAATCTTACCGACCCTAAACTTTTGAACTGTAGCGTATAAATATATATAATATATATATGTATGTATATATATATATAAATGTATATATATCCTGATAATTTCATTTATTGTTATCTTCAGTTTGCATACATCATTGATTATGGCTAAATTCTGGCATTTCATTGCTTGTATAAGAGTAATTTGGTTGGTCTTGTCCCGCCCAATGACTTTGTGCTCTTACAAAAGCCACTAATTACAGCTAATCAAGTGCTCTGGGAAGTGAAGTTTTTCATGTGTATTGTCCATTTTAATCGAGCAGATTGGCGTTATATGTGTGTGTGCGTTTGTATTAGAGGAAACTTATGTCCCTATGGTCTCACTGCCCAGTGTGATTTAGGAGCCGCTCCCTGTGCTTAATAGATCGCTCTGAAAACAGTGCTGGGATAAGAATCCTAAACGACTGGTTGTATTTCACGAGCCGTTTAAAGCCATATACAGGAGATTGAGTGAGAACGGGCTTTACTGCATATAAATATACAGCCTTCATAAAGCTGGATTCGCCATGAACTTCTTATTAGTGGATGATTTATAAAAAAAACATTAACTTGTTTTAGGAGTGATTTCAGTAATAAAAGTTATTTACCACCAAGCGACAAGACACAATGACATTTTCTCATATGCTTCATTCCTATTATGTTTGTGCAGTTCTCCTGATACCAATTTTGTGTGGCATTAAAACTGAATGAACGACCACCGTCATTACTTCTGCTGTTCTTGGTGAGCATTTACGCAGTCTCTCACTCCCCACGTTGGAAATCATCGCTGTTAAGCGTTCGGATTACTCACGCTGGCGCTTTTGTTATACCGTATAAATATAAAGGAAAGCCTTGACTGTAGTTATTCCAAAGCAGCAGCGTCCCTCGAGTGATTGCATTAAATGTTTCCTCCGTCATATTTGTTTTAATCTTCATCGTTGTCCTCCTCCTCCTCTCCCACAGTGTGGCATAATCTCTTTTGTATATCCGTGACTCATGTTTGAAATCTCAGAACCCCTGACAGTGGCTTCATCTACCGAGAAGGTTTCCGCACTTCCTCCTAGGTGCTGAGAGATAATTAGGGCAACTAATGAATGTTAACTTCTCCTAGACTGTGCATGATAAGGTGATGACGGTTTTTTCCTGCAAAAGAAAGCTCTCTGGAGGACTTAAAGCTCAAAATGCCTCCGGTCTGCCTGCTGGCCCTTTATGGACTATCTGCTCCAAGTGTGTGTGGTTGACTAGCTAAGGTTTTTCCTATTTTGTCATGCTTTTTGACTGTTTTTCCGTATTGTCACTTGCTCGTCACTCTCTCTCTCTTTAAAAGTTTAGTTGACTTATTAAAGTTAATGGCTGTTCCCCTTCTGGGAAAACAGAATAAAACTGTTGATGACTCATCATGCACCAGACAGATTTTTGTCCAATCAGAGGATCTCTACAATGAGAACGGCCCACCCCTAGTTCCAAAACATAGTTTTAGCAAAATTAATCAGAGATAATTTTACCTCAGAGGAAAATTGAACTTAAACCAAAATTGTGTCTTTTAGTCCATGCCTGTTACTGTAGCTTTGAAGCCACGCATATGGCTTTGCTTTATTTTATTTTATTTTCAGTCCATGTCTCTTAGTGTTGAAGCCATTTCAAAAGTTCACAATTAATGCAATTAATGCACCTAAAGCTTATTTTGCTGTTGTTTATCCCTTCAATTATATCTTTCCCCGATTTCCTGATTTAGTAGGACATACATCAAAACATGAAAGACCATTTAATTCTCATACTCATGTCATTTAATTAGGTCTGCCAGAAAGCCCAAACTAGTTTTTTTCTTTTATTGCCATAACTCCAGGACTCCTGAAAAACACAAACATAAGGAACAACATAATGATGGACCTTGACGTTTTAATGGGTTTCGTGACAAATAGTGTTTTACAAAGAGATGTGTGATGCTACGAATAACAATAGTCTGTGCTGTTAGCCACAAATATACTGGGGAAATAATTATTCAAGCAACAATATAGATTTATTTTCAATTGAACAATGCGAAATACTGTTTTATATAACAGTCAATGTTCTCAATCCAATAAGCATTAACATGTGTGGCAAAAGGTTAATTTTGGATCATATTTATTAGCATTCACTGACTAAACAAAGCCTTCAGGCCTTTAAATCACAAAAAAACATCTAGTCCTCTCAGCTTTTGGGGTTTGACCTGCAGATGTACCTCATCCGGTGTGCTGAAGCAAAAGAGCATCACAGAGTTCATAATTACATTGGGAGCAGGTGCTAAATCTGCAAAGGTGTTTAATAGAAGGAGGTAATAACTGGAGTCAGTCGGAAATCACTGCCACTTTAATTTGCTAATTTTCACTTTTCATGCTTTATTCTCTTTCTCCAACTCTCTGTTTCCTCTCTCTTTCTATCATCTCTTGCACTAAGTCCGTTATATATCAGGCAGAATGAGATTATTTTGCCTGGAAGTCTTTTAGTGAGAAAACGGCTGTCTTGAACAGGCTACTTTATCTTGCTGATGTTATTTATTTGTAGTGCCTTCATTTTCCCGCTTATTGTTTGTTCAGTTTATAATGAAGCCTCGCTGTGAAGCATATTGCAACAAAATTGTGTAAGCCTTCCTTCCCACCACTGGTATCATCTCTGCATGCAAAGCCCTCCTCTAAAGCACATGACCAAACATATCTTCCCTCTCTCGCTTTATATCAATCCTTCTATCTGTTCTGAGAAGGTCTCTGAGGGCCTTTTATGCTGTGGGGTCCTCCTCCAAAATATGCAGAGCTCAGATTAGAAAAGCACAGGAAATGACAGTGGCCATCCAGATCAGATACTGTATCAACTGAGAAAATGGCGAGAGACAGAACTCTGGATAAATGTGAAGAAAACCAAAGGGAATAAAGCGAAACGAGCTGATTAAAGAAGAGAATGAGAAAGGGAGGAAGACAAGAGTTAAGCTGGCAGTAAAGTCTGTCAGGCCCCAGTCACATGTGCGGCTGAAGATTGTAGACTGAGGGACGTCCGGGCAGATTTCCTATTTGAATCCGAGTCCAGCAACTGCAGCTCTATATCAGCATGCTAATTGCTGACTTGAACCGCTTCTGTTTGTTGTGTAGTCTTCCTTTTCTGAGAAAAAAAAAATGAAGTTCCTGTCTCTGCTGTCAGAGAGAGATAGAGAAAGAGAACAAGAGTTGTAGTGTGCTCGGACAGTCAGGCGCTGCGGGGTCGTTTTGGTCTTACGCTGAAGAGTTGAAATTCAGTCACAGTGAAGAAATCAGGATCTGCTAGAGATAAACAGGTACTGAACTTCTTTAACATAAGTGTGTACTGTATACTCTTGTGTGTGTATGTGCTTATAGATTTGGGACAAAATTGTTCTTTGTAGAGATCTTAATCTGACAAAACAGACAATTTTTTAAAAATGATTATCAACAGAATTATATATTGAATTATTTGATGATATTATTTATTATTATTGTTATTATATTGTTTATTTTTACTATCACGATTATTATTATTTATGATACTACTATTATTTATTTGGTTGTTTGTTTATTACATATAAATGCATTTCTTAATTATTAATTTATTACATTTTTTTTTTTTTTAAACTACTTAAAGTTTTCTTCCAAGGGTTAAGGGTAAGGGTTAGCTTAGCAAAAATTATGTTGTATAGTCATATTATTTCACCAACAGTATAACTAACTTCAGCGGAGGACGATTGCCATCCCCAACTTTACTATAGTTTTTTCTCGTTCTGTTCTGCCAGTGGGTAGTTTCCTGTGCAAGCGTTTGCATGCGAGCGTACAATGCAGGAAACCACTGATTCAAAGCCCGTGCATTTCCCCTCTTTCCTGCTCTCTCAGTATTTTCCTCGGCGTGTGCCTATGTCCCGCCCCATCACACTATTTAAACTGACACAGAAAGTCCAAAAGTATAAGTTCTTGTAAACGCAGCTTTGATCTATCTCCGTCTTTCTCTCTTTCTCACCTCTCTATTATTTTCTCTGTTGATTTCTCCATGTGGCTCTCTGGAGGGCCTCTGTTCTTTCTGACTGGAGCTTTATTCAGTGTGGCTTAATTGGAAAGAGAGGGGAAAACGATCATTAGAGGAAGTGGGAAAGGAGTAGAGAGTTTACATGGATGTGATCAATGAGATGAATATTTGCTAAGGCACATTCCTAACCATAAGTCTTTTTGACTTCGACAGTAAGCAACCACCTAACCACCACCCAGAACACCCGTTGTGTCGTTGAGGCGAATTTTGTAAGCACCATTTTCAGAAAATATCCATCCATCCATCTTCATCCGCTTATCCGTGGTCGGGTCATGGGGGCAGCAGTTCCAGCATGGGACCCCAAACTTCTCTTTCCCGAGCCACATTAACCAGCTCTGACTGGGGGATCCCGAAGCGTTCCCAGGCCAGTGTGGAGATATAATCTCTCCACCTAGTCCTGGGTCTTCCCCGAGGTCTCCTCCCAGCTGGACGTGCCTGAAACACCTCCCTAGGGAGGCGTCCAGGAGGCATCCTTACCAGATGCCCAAACCACCTCAACTGGCTCCTTTCGACGCAAAGGAGCAGTGGCTCTACTCTGAGCTCCTCACCCTATCTCTAAGGGAGACACCAGCCACCCGCCTGAGGAAACCCATTTCGGCCGCTTGTACCCGCGATCTCGTTCTTTCGGTCATGACCCAGCCTTCATGACCATAGGTGAGGGTAGGAACAAAAATTGACCGGTAGATCGAGAGCTTTGCCTTACGGCTCAGCTCTCTTTTCGTCACAACGGTGCGGTAAAGCAAGTGCAATACCGCCCCCGCTGCTCCGATTCTCCGGCCAATCTCCTGCTCCAATCTCCCCTCACTCGTGAACAAGACCCCGAGGTACTTAAACTCCTTCACTTGGGGTAAGAGCTCATTATCAGAAAATATAAAAAATCTAATTATGAAACAGCAACCACCCAGAACACCCAAGTAACACCCTGGCAACCACCCATAACATTCCCTAGCATCACAGTCACCTACAGTAGCAATTCGCTAGTAACCACCTACTAGCAACAGCCTAGTAAACACAGTGAAAACCCTAGTAACCACTAGGGATGTGACCGAATACCTTATTTGGAAAGGCACAGATAATGGCTTCAGAATGAACAACAAACTCTTCCACTCTAGCATTGTGGAAGTAACTTTTACAAGGGAAAGCACTACACACGCACATATAGAAAACGTATAAAAAAGCTAGTTATGAGATAGCAACTACATTAACCACCCTGAACACCCTAGCAACACCCTAGCAACCACCCATAACAAACAACTTAGCATTATGGAGATGACTTCTAAATGGGCAAACACCGCTCACAGTCACCTAGAAATTACACCATAGCAATGCCCTAGCAACTACCTACAGCAATCTGCCATCATAGAGGCAACTTTTGCATGGGCGAGCATCACTCTTGTAATGCCATTTGCAAAAATGCGAAATCTAGCTGATATAGCAAACCCAGAACACCCTAGCCACCGCATAACAACACCTTTGCAACCACCCAGAACACCATTGCATCATGGAGGTGACTTTTACAAGGGCAAGTACCACTCACATACAGAAAACGTAACAAACAAAAAAAACTAGTTGTGAGAAGGTGACTACAGTAACCACCCAAGCAAACACCATAGCATAATGATGACGAATTAGTCCTGCTGTTATAAATAATCATACCCATGTTAATACACATTTAACCATGTTTATATATATATATATATATATATATATATATATAAACCACCTGTGTCTTAGTGTGTATGGAGAGTGAATGTTGGAAGGAGGATTTAATTTACTCTTAACCAAGATCTGAACAGCTATATCATAGACACATCAGAAGAGAGACAGAGAGAGGGAGACAAAGGTCTTTCTTTCAGTCCCATGTGATAAATGGTCCTTCCCCTGTGCCCAGTGCATGATGGATGTGTCTAATGCTTTCTGGGTGATGCAGGATTTGGGACTGACAGGTAGAGTAATAGTCATCTGAGAAGAAATCGATGGGGTTCATGGGAAATAAGTGCGATGACAACGGGGGCAGCTTGGCCTGTGCTATGTTTACTTTGAGGGATGGTTGCCCTCACACGCCTGCCGTGTTGCACCCATAAAGACAAACAGGCAGCAGGAGGTAATGGCAATGTTTCACTGAAGATGATGGAGCAGGGTGTCATGGGTGGCTGTTTATCCCTGTCATTGTGCCCGTGAGACAGAACAGCCTGTCTTCATGGGGAGAAACTCTCAATTGGATGCAGAGTGTCTTTTTTACTATCTATCTATCTATCTATCTATCTATCTATCTATCTATCTATCTATCTATCTATCTATCTATCTATCTATCTATCTGTCTGTCTGTCTGTCTGTCTGTCTGTCTGTCTGTCTGTCTGTCTGTCTGTCTGTCTGTCTGTCTGTCTGTCTGTCTGTCTGTCTGTCTGTCTGTCTGTCTGTCTGTCTGTCTGTCTGTCTGTCTGTCTGTCTGTCTGTCTGTCTGTCTGTCTGTCTGTCTGTCTGTCTGTCTGTCTGTCTGTCTGTCTGTCTGTCTGTCTGTCTGTCTGTCTGTCTGTCTGTCTGTCTGTCTGTCTGTCTGTCTGTCTGTCTGTCTGTCTGTCTGTCTGTCTGTCTGTCTGTCTGTCTGTCTGTCTGTCTGTCTGTCTGTCTGTCTGTCTGTCTGTCTGTCTGTCTGTCTGTCTGAAGACTTCTAAAATTTCTGTTATGTTTTTTGTGCAGGACAAGCGATGTGGTGAAATTGCCCATTCTCCATCACTGGACGTGTTTTTACCAGAGGATGAGGACAACCCTTACGAGTCAGTAGCTACAGCTGTCACACGCAAACCTTGCTCTCTTGACATCCAACTCCACAACGCATGCCCTCGCAACGGTTGGTAACTTCTAATCAATGAAAACTAGCAAAAAATCAATCAATTGAAAATTGATGTAAATAATCTCCACATGCACTAACTCAGCATTTATACCTATCAGAAAAATACTTTGTACACCTCAGTAAGTCAACATAAAGCTTTAGCAGTCAATTTTTTTTGTATATGATGCATTTCCATGTCAAACAAGATACTCAGTAAGGAAAAATGGGCAGGACTTTGTATCCATTGGGAATTGATTGGATTTTGAAATGTTCATAAAAATTTATATACAGTATATTACTTAATAATATAATAATTTAGATTATAATTATTATAATAATTGTAATAAAAATAATATACAGGCTATGCAGATTGTTCTCAGGGGCAGGGGTTAGGGGTGTAACGGTACACAGAAGTCACAGTTTGGTACGTACTGTACCTCGGTTTTGGGGTCACGGTTCGAGTTCGGTACAACAGGAAAAAGCAACAAATCCCCAACGCTAGGGTTTATTTTCATTTATTTTGAACAGACAGTAGTGAAAATTTCAGTTTGTTCCATTTAGCGGCATTGAGGTAGTTGGTACAGTACAGCCTCCTTAAGTGTATTAAAGCACTAAGCAGTAAATAGAACGCACTCTTGCATAGGTCATATTTTATTGTAGGGCTGATAATAAAAAAAGGCATTTGGTCACAATCACCTAAAAAACTGAAAAGCATCTCTTGTGTAATAAAAGTACACAATAAAAGAACAATGAAACATAAAACTTGTTCATAGATTAGTTTTCTTTGCGTGTTAGAGCTCATTAACATACTGTGACAATGGCGGATGCACAAAGTTCAATATTACACTTTTTCAAGAAATCAAGATGAGCGAGAAGGAGAAAAAGTGGCATCTACTGTACATCTGAGCCTGTTTTCCACGAGGAGACAGCGAGTGAAGCGACATCTGAGGCTTCCCATTTACAGAACACGCATATTTCATCACTGGACTGAAGTGAGACTTAACAGCAGAAACAACTTAAAATACGTAAAAAAAATTGTAGTCTATTTTCATTTGTGTACACTCTACACTCACAATAAACAACAAACCATTGTGCTTTTGTAAAATAAAGAAAATAAACAGGATGGTGCTTTTTGCCGTCAGGGTTTCCTTCCCGTGAAGTTAGTGGAGCGTGTCACAAATTTGAATTGAAACTCAGCGTATATAGGCTACTAGCAAGCTCTTGCGTGCCATCTGAACTTGTTTTGGGTTGGCGCCTAGATCATCTCTTCTTCTTCTGCTCTTTTTCCTGTTGTGGCGGATAGGAAACAGCGTTGCATAACCGCGCGTGCCTCCTTCTGGATTGGAGTGCAATTACTGACTGCATGAACAACTGTTACAATGGTAGATATTGTAAACGGATTGTGTGGTCACAACTACTGATATAAACTTCTTGTATTTAAGATGTACAATGTAAGCATAATAATTTTTTTTTTAAAGGGAAAAAAGTGGACTGAAGGTTAGAAAGCATGACGTTCGTGTCAGAATGCCAGTCTGTCTTTCAAGTCCGAAGCAAGACAAAACCCATATAGCAACGTGTTATGCCAAAGACGTCTCGGACAGTCTGACAGCAGATACATATCAACCGTAAATATATTACTTTTCGAGTGATTCGTTACAAAAGTGTGCATCAATTAATATAAGCTCGAGCGTGAGTGTGTGGTGCGCTGGAACAGACCTCATTCATGCATGCACATTGAGCTTCTTCTTTTCTTTTCAGTTGAAAATCCACTTGAAGATGCATTCTTGCCACCTACTGCACAACACCTGCGTGACAGCTGACGTAAAATAAAGGAGCGGGCTTAGGATAGCCGAGACTGATCAGTTAAAAAATGCTAAATCGCCCCCGATACCAATCCTTGAGATCGGCTCGGGACATCCCTAATTATTATTATTATATAAAATAGTATCACAATAGTAAATGCTTCACAATCCAATCAATTCCCAATTTCTCCCAAATCATTACTTTTCTTATTATATTATATTATATTATATTATATTATATTATATTATATTATATTATATTATATTATATATTATAAATACTCCACAGAACACTGTCCATGCTGTATTGATTTGACAAACACAGAACATTAGGTCCCATGGCGCCTCGTGGCGTTTAGGTCGATGCCTGTAGTCCTGGGATGCTCCTGCCCCTGCCGCAGTACTTTCCTCTGGCATCGTTCCTGCGGTAAGGGTTAGGGTTGTCGTGGAAACCGCTTTAGCCTTACCCAGAGAGGTTGGTGATGAGTCACCTGCAAGTTGTCGTGGAGACGCAGTGAGTAGTGTTGCCTGTAGGCTGATTCACACCTGATGTTCATCTCCCAGATGACTCTATTAATGCATCCGCACAGTCTGGCGGGACTTCACTTGATGTATGTGTGTGTGTTTTCTACTATTTCCTGTGTTACTGTACTTTAACCCTCTGTTTGTGTTTGTGCTTGAGCGGATGTTTGCGTGAGTGTTTGTGGATTTTGACCAGCTCTATTTTTGGCCCCCCTCAAGCTATCCCCACAAGCATGAAATCACAGCTTTTACAGGACTGTTCTCTGCCTGATTATAGCCAACACTGCAGTTTTGTGCTGCAGGATTGCACAGGACCAACCAAAACACTCACATCCGTATATCCCACAATAAATAGAGGTGACTTCTGACTTCTAAATATCACAGTTTAATGTTCATTGCAATTGAAAAAAATAATTTCTTGTTATTAAAGTATTTTTGTGTAAGTCACCTCCTTGAAATGTATTGCGTTTAGTGTAATATAATAAATGTGCTGGAGACGTTTACTAAATGAATAGAGAAAGAGAAATATGTCTTCATAGTTCATCTAGGTCATATCCTGAATGTTAACCATGAATTGTAAAAAATGACTTGCAACCAACCAAGCGGGTGTGAAATCTTTGTTAAGAGCTACTCACAAGCAGAATAAAGTTTACAATTAAAAGATCATGGAAGAAGGTCATGTAACTTTTATGACTTTCAATAAACTCACAGCAACAGAAAACTAGGCAGTTCAGTATTCTGCTAACTAGTTACTTGTCAACATAAGTGTAACTGTTTCCAGTCAGTTTTTGTTCTTTGCAATAATATTGTGTTGTGTTTCACGGTCAGATTGTGTGGGATTTGTTGAGGATTTATTTAGTGACAGCTTGTCAAAAACAGGATTTAGGTGGAAAGAGTCAAGACGTGGCTCAGCATAAGTCTTGTTACAGCTGCTTTTATGCGTCTTTTCCTGTTTATTTATTTATCTCTTCTCTGTCCCTGTCTTCTGTCTGTTTGTCCTCTTGTTTTTTTAACTTAAATGAGTTAGTCGTGTTCAATTATGGACACATGTGATGAGCCAAATGTAAGACTGTTTTTCCCCTGATGTGGCCTCAGATTAGTTCAGCTGTCTCCGGTTCAGCAAATCATATCTGTCTGTTTTTCTTTTAACCCTTAAACGCACACCTCGGGTCTTTAGTGACCCGGGACGTCATTCACCACCCTCCTCCTCATTCACTTTTTAAAGTTAGACATCAACCTTCTTAGTATTCCTCAATTAATTAATTATATACAATATAATAAGAAAAAATATATAAAAGAATGCCTGTTTTCTCATTTATTTTTTGTAAAAATTGAATGAGGTCGCTAACGACCCGAGGTGTGTAACGGTTTAAGTATGTCATAAGTATATACAATAATTGAATTCTTTGATGACTGAAGTGCAATTGACCTTTATTCCACAAGGTGACAATGTGTAATATACAAAGATGAAATTATGTTCTCGTACTCAAGTTACCGCTGGCAGAAAACAAAAGAATAGGAAGGATCATCAGCAAATTTTGAAATGGTTCAGCGATTTACATCATAGTAAGTACTGAACGCAATTAAATATTAGCGTCACTGTTACTTGATGGTGGATCTGGTGAAGAAGCTGTCAGCGATTAAAATGTTGATTTTGAAGATGTTAAAAATGATAGTTTTGAGAATATATTTGAGATGGCGAATATGAGCCAGATGCTGAATGTACTGGGAAATGAGCTGGGACTGAGAACAGTGATGATGTTATTAAACATTTACTCAAACTGAATCCTTCCAAGCTCCAAAAGATAACAAAATATGCTTGATTGTATTCTTCTGTAATGGCTACTCTAATATCAGGAGAGTTTTATATTATCGCGACAGGTAGAGAATCATCCATGTTAGATATAGATCCGGGTCGCAAAAGACCCGAATATGTAATGATGAAACATTCATGCATTTAAGGGTTAGGTATTTGTCCAAATATATTAAAAAATACCTTGTTTCTCTTCAATGCTTCAATACTTTGACTAGTGTGGTGGTATGAAAGAAGCAGTCACAAATACAATATAAATTATTTAATTTATATTCAAATTTAATTTAATTTAATTTTAGTACTTTGACCAGTGTGGTGGGTTTAACACAGACAACATGGGCATAAGTACAATGTAATTTTTTTTTTTTACATAAATACAATTAATCTATATTTTATTTTGTTCAACTACAAAATGTCATTAATTTATTTTCTCTGGAAGTACCAAGGAGTCCAGGTAGGGTGTCATTCAGTCAATCCATCAATCAATCTTAAAGCTGCAGTCCGGCATTTTTCCTCTTTGTCGCCATCTCTGTTCGAAATCTGCAATTGCAGTCATTCACGGAATTATCAACTTTACGTGGGTTGTAGTTCAACACCCTCGACACGGCACAGCGCGGATGAACACAATGTTTGAGGAGAGTGTGCAGCTGTCAGTCACCGCGCCGATGTGGATATTGTCATTCAGAATCACAGATTATTCTTTTTGGAAGTATGACCAACATAACAATTTTCACCGGGAAATGTCATCTGAACTAGTAAGAAACATTCACTTTTGTTCTGGTTCTGACATTGCAGTAAATCGCGCTGATTAAATCTAACAATCGCTTATAAATTATCATTTCACGCAAAACCGTGCAAAGTAGCTATACTATGTTCTCAAA